TAAATACACAGCTACCTCTTTGCCACCATTATCATCTATAGACCAAATGCAGTTCACTGAGAAACAAATGCAGCATTAATGTCTGCTTCATCTCTGTGTTCTGCCTAGCAGTGTCTGGCACATTGTGGTCATTCAATAAACATTTGCTGAATTGTTAGTGTGGTAGAAGTAACACAGATCTCTTCCCAACAACACTATGGATCAACTCATAATTATAATTAACAAAACTGTGCTAAGTTACAAAGTTATGTTCTAAATATTTTACATGTGTACACCAATCCTAAGAGGTAGTGGATACTATTCTCTTACACAGAGAAGGAAGCTGAGGCACAGAGAAAAGAGTATGTAGCAGACTCAGAATTTGAGATTAGGTAGCATGGGTCCTAGATCCCAAAAGCTATACCACCACGTATACTGCCTCAGGTCAATCAGGAGAGCCCCAGGGTAACTCCATGCTAAATTAAAGCAAAGTTGGATACCTGCCTAACCCAAGACCCAAGAGGAGGAAGTGTGCCACTAGGTTGGGGAATTACCATAGATAGGAGCCGGCTGATAGTAAGCCCTGGGAGTCAGAAGGGGCCCCTGCTAGCTTATGGAGAGGGACAAAGTCACTCATATCCGCAGCTTGGTTAGTGGATAATGAAATAGTAGATTTCAGATCTTCAAAAGGTCTTTCAGACCACTTGTCTGGCCACCTTTATGTTGTATAGAAATTGGAAAAGGAGAGAGGGTGGGGGGGCCGGTGGAGAGGAAAAGAGAAAGAGGGATTAGAACCCAAGAACAAAAACTGGCATGGGAGAAAGGGGAGATGGAGCCAGACGCTGATAAATCCATTATAGTGGTAAAGTATGCTCAAAGTGAGGGAGTTTCAAAAGTTTCCTCTTACCCCCACCCCTCAAATTCTGCTAAAAAGCCTTGTTCCTTTTGATCAGAGGGACATTATTTATAGTATTTTATAGTATTAGTATTTTAGTATTTATACTAACAAGTAATAATGAACATGGTTTTTAAAAAATCAATCTCTCTCAAATCAATCTTATGACAGAAAGACTAGAAGGAGAAGGAATATATGAAATTTAGCTTGACTTGGAATTTTTAATTTTATGTGGCATAACAATCTGAGGAGACAGTTAGAAATGGTCCTGGGTAGACAAGAGTAGTACATGATTTTTTTTTTTTCCTTCACTGACTAAAGGGGCCTGCAATCACCCTTGGTTGAATTGCTACATGTAAATCCACAGAATCTACAAGTAGATGCACAGATAAACCACAGATAGGGCAGTTTGAACAGGTTAATAGTAAGGGCAACAGTTTATCCAAAAATGGCCTGAAAACCCATTCATATGCAATTTTCCCCAGGGCTTACAAGTCTGAGACCTCAAGGAAGGAAGGTAACAAAGGAGGTGAGTGGCACCCTCAAGTAGGCTATGGAACAAATACCATGAGTCTGGTCATCAATTAACCTGTGTTAGAACACAAGGTTATACTTTCTAAATTGGAATTTTCCTTTTTGTAGTTTCTTTGCTGAACTACCTTTTGGAATCCATTATGTTTTAATAAAACTCATTTTGGAAAAAAAAAAACAACCTCAAAAGCACTAACAAGGAAATTACCTACTATATGCCAGGCATTGTGCTAAGAGTGCTAGGGATATGATAATGAAGGCAGAAATCATCTCTACCTTCATGTAGCTCAAAGTCTTTTGGGGAAGAAAGACACTGAAAAAGAAATTCAAATGTGATGTGTTATGAAAGAGGAAGTACAAGTTGCTAGGGGCATTAGTGGAGAGAGCAATTAGACATAAGCAGAAGAGAAATTTTCAGTGGAAAGAAATCAAAAGCCAAAATAAAAACCAGGAACTCTCAAGAATAAGTGGGAATAGATGGAGATCCATGAAGTTAAGATTTTATTCTTTTGACATCAAGTGGGTTGAATATTTCGATTAGGTAAGGACCCTATTTTTTCTTTTTTTCTTTTTGGGCCTTTGCCCAGAGAGAGTGGGAGCACTCTGAAAGATCTTGTCTGAATCTAAGCTCTTTCATTATTTTTATGGATTAATTAAAACTGTTATACACAACAGGGCTACAGAATGTGGGAGACAGGGCTATTGTTCAGAAGAGCTCATAGCCTAGAGAGACAATGTATAAAAATTAAAGAAATACAAGCAGTTTGTCAGACGACTATAAATGAATAAAGCCTTATAGAAGGCAGAGGAAGAAACTGCTATGGGCAAGAATGATAAGGGACAATGTCATGATGGAGATGTCCTATTTTAGAACTTACTGGTGAGTTATGACACTCCAAGACAGGGCTTAGTGTACAAGCCTGGGGCTTAAAATTAGACCAGGATTTATCAACTTTAACAGTATTGACATTTTGTGTCAGATAATTCTTTGTTATAGGAGGCTGTCCTGTGTATTGTAGGATATTAAAAGCAATCCTGGCCTCTACCGAATCACATCCAGCAGCACATTCCCCCCAGTTAGGACAACCAAATGTCTCTTAGCATTATCAAAATGTCCCCGGGGAGGCAAATCACCTTCCTGTTGAGAACCACATTAGACCCTGATACCATGTTGAGCCTTGCTCATGGCATATGCAGGTTCAGCAATACAGGGGAGATGCAGTACCAAAGATGGGTTGACCTACAGTCATGATGAGATAAATAACTGACATCAAGATTACACATTCTGGTATCTAGGAGGAGTGTCTTGAACTACAGAATGCCAAGCAAAAACTTCCCTTTCAGTATGAGACATTATGGGTTCAACTGTCCTTGAGACTAAATATCCAATGATTAGGACTAGACAGCTATTTCTGGGACAAATGAATAGGGAAGATAATTCCACACTAAGTCTCACTCAAAAGGAAGATAAAAATCTACTCAAACAAGTATCTATCAGGGATCTACAGTACCCCTGTGTCAACATATAGGGGATGAACAGGTCAAGCCATGAAGAGCTGGGGCAGGTAGACATAGATGTGAAACCCCTTCTTTTAGGTTTGGGCTTATTCATTGGTATTAGGGTGCTGGCCTGGATAGATAACTCTTTCAATTCCAAAGTTATAGCTATGAGATAAGGGAAGACATTTTAATATATATTTAATATAATGTATATTATTCAATATATATTTCTTAGTGTCTACTATGTGCCAAGTACTTTAAAAACATTATCTCACTTAGTTAGTCCTTAGGGCAACTTCGGATTACTATCCTCATAGTATAGCCAAGGTTTAGAGGAGTTAATAACTTGCCCGAGGTTATACAGCTAGTATGTAGATAAGCCAAAATTCAAACCCAAATTTGTCTGACCCCCAAAACTTTGATCTTTCCAATCACTATGATGTCTTCTAAGGTGTGATAAGGAAATGATGTGAAGGAAATTTCAGTTTCAGTAAGGGGTGGAGTAGGGGAAATGAGTAGGCTCTGGGTCAAAGAGGAATTGTGTAAGGATGAGTCTTTACTCATACATACAAAGGTTCTTAGCAAATATTTAATGAAAGTTTGTAAAATAGTATTGTGTTTAATTAAGGGATTGTTTGAGGGAGGCACTGATGAATGCTGGGTATCTAAAATATAAATAAAATTTTTATCCCTGTTCTTTTTTAAAAAATTTTATTTTATTATGTTATGTTAGTCACCATACATCATTAGTTTTTGATGTGGTGATCCACGATTCATTGTTTTCGTATAACAACCAGTGCTCCATGCAGTACATGCCCTCCTTAATACCCATCACCAGGCTAACCTATCCCCCCACCCCCCTCCAAAACCCTGTTTGTTTCTCAGAGTCCATAGTCTCTCATGGTTTATCCCTCCCTCCAATTTCCCCCTCTGCATTTTTCCCTCCCTTCTCCTAATGTCCTCCATGTTCTTAAAGAATTCTCAAACCAATCTAGCAGATACAACTTACAATTCTACAGAATAATAATAATACTTGATGTGAACAAAATGCTATGGGAGCTGTGGGTTGATGCTCAACCTCTTTCTAATCTGAAAAAACTGGAAAGCTAGTATCCTTTTCAGTTAGGATTCTAGATGTGATTGAGTCCAATGGATCTTGTGAGAAATGAATTCAGAACTGAGCCATGTGAGGAGAAAGGAAAGATACATGGAATCTAATTTGCTTGTGTGGATTTGGCAGAGGTGATATATGTGATTCTGGAGCTAGCAGTTTCCTGTAACAGCAGTAGCAGCAGCTGCAGCAAGTCATGCAGTTCTGTGGTGAACAACAATGGCAGCAGCTTCCTACAGCAACAGTAGTGGGAACATTTCTAATCATGGTAGAAATACCATGGTTGTAAGGGCTGAAGGTTATTCCAAGGAGTTGGACCTAGAAGTTGCTCCTCTACTTCTTTCAGTGATTTTGTAAGCACTCAGTTCCTCATTTTAAATCTCTTTTTGCCTAAACTAGATGATTCTGTGTTATGCAATTGAACACTGATGCAGTAATAAGAAAAGTTGTTAATGAATGATTTTCCAGGAAATGAGAATGTGGGATACCTTATCTGACTTGGATGTATCTGAAGGCAGCGGGGATCTGGTTACTATTAGTGGAGACTGGTAGTCTAAGATACACAGAAGAGAAACAGTTATTTAAATGATCACCTATGGACTAAAATAAACTAGTAAAATATAAGCTAAAGACCATTTCTGCCATCACATGGAAAGAGTCTCCCTGAGAATAAAGACAAAAGAAAAAGGCACAGTCATGTGATGGCAAGGGATAGATTCTTATAGACATTTGAGTCCCTGGATCCAGGCCTATCTGTAGACTTTTCAGTTATAGAAAATACATTCCATTTTTGCTTTAAAAAATTATCATCGGGGACCCTGAGTAGCTCAGCCAGTAAAGTGTCCTACTCTTGATTTCAGCTCAGGTCATGATCTCTCGGTTGTGAGGTGGAGCCCTGTGTTGGGCTTGCACTGCACATGGAGCCTACTTAAGATTCTCTCTCTCTCTCCCTCTGCCCTTCCCTTGCTCTTTCCAAAAAAAAAAAAAAAAACAAAACCAAAATTATCATCTGGTGTTACCCAGAATGAACTACCTATCAAAAGTAAGACTTTGATGGACCAACTGGCTGCTAAGTCAGAGTATTATGAAATGCACAAGAAATACAAGGGTAGGGATTACTTCTCATTGTGCTAGAAAAACCTAAAGAAAATTATAGGCTCAAGATTTCACATTTTTAGCCTAGGACATGTTAAAAAAAAACAGGCGTTTTCTATGATTGCTCTAAAAACATCCTTTATCATTTTTTTAAAAAAAGATTTTATTGATTTATTTATTTGACAGAGAGAGAGCACAAGCAGGCAGAGCAGCAGGCAGAGGGAGAGGGAGAAGCAGGCTCCCGGCTGAGCCAGAGAGCCCAATGTGGGGCTTGATCCCAGGACCCTGAGGTCATGACCCAAGCCAAAGGCAGATATTTAACCAACTGAGCCACCCAGGAACCCCATATATCCTTAATCTCTTAAAGCCAAGGGTCTAACACACCAAAAATTAGAAATAGAATCTTCTTTGTAAAATGCTGAATTATGAAAAAGGTAGAATTAATAGCTTCATTTGATCTCTGATGTGGAAGTTTTGGTACCGACAGTAAGAGAGTTGTATTCCAAACAAAAATGGTATCCTGTGCTGCCAAACTCCACCGAGTGTCCCTTGCCTGCAGAAGTAGCTCCCTTCTTGCCCTGGTCTTATCTTCCTTGAAAAGCCTAGAGACCTTATAGTAACCAATTTCCAAGAAGATTTCAGTGATTTGTACCTCTTAGTATTAAATGCCCAGTGTAGTCCTCTCCCACAATGAAAAGGGCTGACCTTTATAACCTATAGGATATCACAGAAATGATGGTGTGTGGCTTCCAAGGCCAGGCCATAAAAGATAGAAGTATGAAATCTATGAAAAGGTTTCTGAAGAAACAAACATTGAAGAGGGTTGTCATTTGTATTGGATCATCCACCCCTACTTATGACCCCAAAGGACCTAGAGCATACCCTCTCTTTACCCTATAGCATGAACAAATAGATTGAGGAGTACAGCACAAGCATCCCTGAATGTTACTGTAATAGCTGTCCTCTGGGGATAAAGGTTGCATGTGTTGCCATTCAAATGGGTTTTCTAATTTCAGTGATGTTGAGGGATCCTGAGGTCAGGTAGCAGAACATAACTGCTATAGACACAGTGGGCACAATTACCAATAAAAAGTTGTACCAGAGTAGTAATTGAAAGGTTTTGATCTACAGAGATCTTTGGTGGTGGTTAACTTTTTAATAGAGTTTCCAGTATTAAAATAGAAGGGTAGCTCACTAAGGTCATACATATTTGTGTAATTGAACAATCCCTAGGTTGGGAAAACAGAAGCTAGAGATACCACTAAGAGTAATGCAATAGCTTTCACCCATTTCCTAGTTCTGGAAAGTTCACAAACCCAGAGGCCCTTGAATACGGAGTATCCTAGGTACCTATGAGAAAGGACCTTGTGATAACATCAAAAGTATGATGTATGAATCTCTCAGCCTTTCCCCAAAGGGACATACAGTTATTTCCTAGGATAAAAGTGTGCAGTGGTAGGGGGGAAAGGGGGAAGACATGGACAATGGTGTTAATCCCTGGTGACCCAGAATACTATGCACACAAGACTCACTGGTCTTATTGTATATCCCCATCATCCAGTAGCAGCTTGTCTTTAGAACTCTTGAGTGGTCTTCTGAAGACTCAGTTCCAGTGTCAGCAGGGAGGGAACAATTTGCAAAGTTAGGGTGTTGTCCTACAGCAGGGATTAGCAAATTAGAGTCTGAAGGCTAAACCTGGCCCACATCCTGTTTTTGTACAGTTTTAAGAATGGCTTTTACACTTCTTTACATTTTATTTATTTATTTGGGAGAGAGAGAGAGACAGAGACAGAGAGAGCATGAGCAGGAGGGAGGGGCAGAGGGAGAAGCAGACTCCCCACTGAGCAGGGAGCTCAACATGGGGCTTCATCCCAGAACCTTATGATCATGACCTGAGCCAAAGGCAGATGCCTGACTGAGCTCCCCAGGTACCCTGGCTTTTACATTTTTTAAGGGCTGTAAACAAAAACAAAGAATATGTGACAGATACCATATGTGATCCTTAAACCCTAGAATATTTACTATCTGGCCCTTTACAGGAGAAAGTTTGCCAACTCCTGTTCTACAGTATTATGTGTTGTGAACTAGCAACTAACATAGAATGTTGTTTCTCCCTTATCTACGGCACAGGAGCTGGGGAACCCAGGAGTGAGACAGACAGCTCCCACTCATACCTATTGATCTACCCATAAAATGTTTTGCTTTCTATTCCCATAATTTTGAGGTTTGACCATTTAAAGGTCTCAGTATCCAAGGGAGGAATATGCTCCCCAGCAAACTCAACAATGGTTCCACTTAACTGGAAGTTTATACTACTAGTTGATTATTTTGGGCTCTTCTTGACATTCGAACAATAGGGGGAAAAAGAGGTTATAGTGTAGGCTGGGACAATTTATCCTTGATACCAAGGGAAAGTGTGATTGCTGCTACATAATAGGAACAAGGATGAGAAATGTCTTGAAACCCGGGAGATGCTTTGGGTCACCTCCTAGTATTGCTATGTACAGTGGAAAATAGGAAACTATAGCAACTGAATTTAAGCAGAAGCACCAAGGACTCATTCCTGAAGAATGAAAATTACCACATCATGTGAAAACCCCAACCAGCTGTAGATACTGGCAAAATGAATATGAAATAATGATGGATGGTATTTTAAAAAAAAAGCCTCAAGACCAGTTATAGAAATGAGGATATAGTAGCTATCCATCTCCTTTGTTCTGTTTTATATATATCTATATACGTTAATCATACCCACTGACTTGTTTTCGTCCTACTTGATATAGGGTATATTTGCAGTTTAATTAATGGTATTGTACTCATGTTAATTTATTAATTTGTGTAATTTTAATATGGTGATATAAGATGTTAACATTACAAGAAGCTAGGTGAAGAGCATCTGTACTATGTTTGCAGCTTTTCTGTAAGTCTAAATTTATTTCAAAATAAAAAGCTAAAAAGCACAATTATAAAAACATAAAATATATATTATAATTTAGACATACATATAATAAAAAGTGATGAAATTTTAGATGCAACCTGGCAATAAAAAATAAGATGCACTTAATGTTTGATCTTTTTAAAAAATACAGATGGCATTAAATATTTCTTCTAAATTACACTAGTCATACCAGGATTTTCTTCTATTATTTCTTCAGTTAATGCTGCCTTAAAATTCTCTCTCATCTCTTCTTTGGAAATATGAAATATTGGAATCTCTGGATTTTCCTTTCATCTTAAGCCACCTCTCCTTCAATATCTTTGTTCTTTTGGAATAATTTTTCAGTTTATTCTTCCAGTTTTGCTAATTTGCTTTTCCTCAAAGTCCACTTGCAGCTTAGACCATGCTTTATTTTTTAATTTAAACAATCTTTAACTCATTCTTTTTTCATGAAATTTAGACACAATATTCTCTCACAGTCTCTCATATTCCTCTGGGGATATTCTGCATAAGGATTAAAATTTTAAAGTACATGTAAGGTGCTTATTAGAACAATGCCTGATACCACACCCATTATGCAGTAAATAATTATTATTTCCAAGATCCTCCTCTGCTTTCTCTAATAACTATTTGCTTGGGTGTTAGTTCTTTTGTTGATTGGTATCAACTTTTCATAGCATTGGTTTTCCTTGGGTATTTGGTGGTTCTTGATTTTGTATTGATCTTCCTTGGGTATCCCTTCCTCGGGTGGTTCTTCGTCTTGGTATTCCTTGTTCTCTGTGCATGATGCTGTTTGTTTACCATAGTTTGCTCTGATGATTGTGAGGGAGGGTACAGTAATTAATATTCTGGGTATGAAGTGAGGCTTCCTTTCCTGGATATAGTCTCCTGGGGTACAGCCTGGCTCATCTGCCACAAGTTTCTAGAGTCAACGAGCTAGCTTAGGGGCAAATACCATTCCAGAGTACCCTTAACTTTGAAGAATGAATGGATGGAGAAACCAACTCAACCAGAGGTTTCCAATTCCATTCCTTATGGTTGCTCTAGGACACTGTGCCCTTCCCCTCCACCCCAACTCCCTGTTATCCATTGCCTCTGAAGCCTGACTCTTGCTCTGATTTCATATGCCCTCTGACTTTCAGGGAGTCCTCAAAATTCCAAATCTGCTGGCAATCCTGGGCTCCAAAAATCCTCAATAATCTTGATTGGGTTTTTTTGTTTTTACAATTCTGTGCCTTTGTCACCTGGCAAATTGAGATTCATGCATTAAGACTCAAAGTACTTCTTCAATTCATACTTCTTTAACCATATTTCTTCTCTGAACTTACATAGCTTCTTGTATACACCTTTATTGTTATTTACAAATGTCTGTGTCCTTTCCTACTAAACTGAATAAATCAACAAATAAAAGATATGCTTTCCAAAGGTCCATCAATGACACTAGTATGCCCACCAGATTCTCTTCCTTATATGGCCTTGTTGAGAGGTGACTTACACTTTATGTGCTTTTTAGATGATGAACATTCGGATATTACTAAAATTTGAAATTTATGGTACCATGGACCGAGACTGAAAAAAGTTTAACTTGTCCTATGTATGAAGAAAATGATTAGGATGAACAATCCTAGGAAAAACAATTAGGATGGAAATGGCTTATTTTATCTTACAGAACAGATAATTTTAACACTTTAGAATGATTCATTTCTAGACAAGTTTATGCTAGCCCTACATTATTACCATGTATTCAATGGGAAAAGAGTAATAGAACACTGTGGGCTTTGTCTGGCAGATGTTATTTGGAATCTCAGGTTTGCTACTTATTAGCTTTATCAAACTGGATAAGCAACTCGAACATTCTGACCTGTGGGAGGGTGGTCTTCTAAAATGGCTCACAGTGCTCTCTGACTCCTGATATTCATGCCTTTGTGTAATACTCTCTCTGTTTTTGGTTGGGGGATATATTCCCTATGCTCTACTTTTCATCCCTGTGACTCATTTATTTTATAATTGGAATTTTGTACCTCTTAATCTCCTTCACCTATTTTTCCCAACCCCTAAAACTCCTCTTCTTGGGCAACCACCAGTTTGTTCTCTGTGTTTGAGTCCGTTTCTGTTGTAATACTCTCTCCTCTTGAACGTGGGCTGGATCTAGTAACTTGTTTTTGTTTGGTTTTTAAAAATCAATAGAAATTCATTTTTTAACTGTTCTTCTGGAGGCTGGGAAATCCAAGATCAAGGTACCAGCAGATTCAGTGTCTGGTGAGAGCCTGCATCCTGTTCACTTAGTGACTTGCTTTTAATGAGAGAAGACAAGAAAAGTGATGGGATAATACTTCCAAAATTAGGTTGTAAAAGTTTGTGACTTCTGTCTCACTGGCTGGCACTTTCTCACTTGCTCACTTTGATGAAGGCAGCTGGCATGTTGTAAGCAGCCCTATAGAAAGGTCCATGTGTTAAAGAGCTGAGGGCAGCCTCTCACTCAGTCCAACAGCCAGTGAGAAACTGAACCCTGCCAACATGAGTGAGTTTGGAGCTGGATTCTTCCCCAGTGGAGCCTTGACAGGACTGTAGCTCTGGTCAATAACTTCACTGCAGCCTATGGAAGACTCTGAAGCAGAGTCTGAAGGTAAGCTATACCTAGGTTCCTGACTTACAGAAACTGTGAGATAATAAGTTAATTTGTTATACTGTAGATAATGCAAAGCCCTAGCTCATCTCTAAAAATGGAGCTGATAGCCTACCTCATAGAGTTAAATGAAATAATGTATATAAAACATTTGGCATCTAATATATGCTTTTTGGGGTGGGATGGGGGGATGGGGTAACTGGGTGATGGGTATTAAGGAGGGCACGTGTTTTGATGAGCACTGGGTGTTATATGCAACTAATGAATCATTGAACACTACATCAAAAACTAATGATGTACTATATGTTGGCTAATTGGACATAATAAAAAAGAAAAAAAGATTAAAAAAAAAGGAGTTCTATAGTTGAAGATCTCTGGAAAATAGTGCCTACAATATACCCCACCCTCTTAAAGTTACACAATGCATGTAAGAGCCAAAATCCTGCTATAAAAACAGTAACATTTAATATCCTTAAAAAAATATATACTTAAAAAAAATTTTTTTTTACCAACATTATGTTTTGGGTTATTTATTGTGCAGTAATAGTAACCAGGACATTATTCATAGCTTTATGATAAATATTTCACAAAATGTGTGAAATACTTAGAAGAGTGTCTAGCTTATATTAACATTTAATAAGTATTAGTACTTATTCTCCAGGTTAGATACTATTACCAGCACTAGAATTCAAACTATGTTTCCCTTTTAAAAATTTGAAAAACTATCATCTTAAACTTTTTTCCCCATTTCTGCCATTTATTCTTTTTTCAAAAATTTAAATTCAATTAATTAACATATATTATTGGTTTCAGAGGTACAGGTGATTCATCAGTCTTATATAATATGCAGTGCTCATTACATCACATGTCCTCCTTAATGTCTATCACCCAGTTACCCCATCCCCCCACCTCTCTCCCCTCCAGCAACCTTGGTTTGTTTCCCATGATTAAGAGTCTCTTATGGTTTGTCTCCTTTTCTGGTTTGTCTTATTTTTTCCTCTCTTCCCTTATGATCCTCTGTTTTGTTTCTTAAATTCCACATATCAGGGGCGCCTGGGTGGCTCAGTCGTTAAGCGTCTGCCTTCAGCTCGGGTCATGATCCCAGAGTCCTGGGATCAAGCCCCGCATCGGGCTCCCTGCTTGGCGGGAAGCCTGCTTCTCCTTCTCCCACTCCCCCTGCTTGTGTTCCCTCTCTCGCTGTGTCTCTGTCAAATAAATACATAAAATCTTAAAAAAAAAAAATTCCACATATCAGTGAGGTATGATAATTGTCTTTCTCTGGTTGACTTATTTCACTTAGTATAATACTCTCTAGTTCCATCCAAGTCATTGCAAACGGCAAGATTTCATTTTTTTGATGGCTGAGTAATATTCCATTGTGTGTGTGTGTGTCTGTGTGTGTGTGTATACACACACCACGTCTTCTTGATGTCAATGGACATCTGGGCTCTTTCCAGTTTGGCTATCGTAGACATTGCTGCTATAAACATTGGGGTGCAGGCGCCCCTTTAGATCACTACACTTGTATCTTTGGGGTAAATCCCTAGTAGTGCAATTGCTGGGTTGTAGAAAAGCTCTATTTTCGACTTTTTGAGGAATCTCCATACTGTTTTCCAGAGTGGCTGCACCAGCTTTCATTCCCACCAACAGTTTAAGAGGGTTCCCCTTTCTCCACATCCTTGCCAACATCTGATTTGTTAATTTTAGCCATTCTGACTGGTGTGATAATATATACATTTTTAAAAAGGTAACTCTTAGGTCCACTAAGTATCTCTACCAGGCAATGTCTTATTATAACACTGTTGACATTAAAATAATGATTTTTAATAATGCTATAGCATTTTGCAGTGATTTTACATACATCTTATTTTTCACAGCAGGAACATGATTAAAACTATGGCATAAGAAATATATATGGTCTCAATCCTGGGTTTCTGCCCCAGAGTTCCTAAAACTCTTGGAATTTCCTGATAGGAAATTCTTTTGTCCTTCATTAGGAGTCCCTTCTGAGTTTATGTTAAAGAAGTGACTTAGGTAGGGCTCCTAGATAGCCTCAGGATGGGGCTAGTCACCAGAAAGACCTAGTGGTCAGAGTTGGAACTTTCACACCTACCCACTGACCTCTGGGAAGGGAGAAGTGGGGGAGGTCTACAGATTAAATCTCTGTAAAAACTCATGAACAAGTTGAGCTTCTGGGTTGGTAAACACGTGAAGATGTGGGGGAGAATGGGCAGCCCAAAAAAGCATAGAAGCTCCTTGCTCCATCGTATATACCTTGCCCTGTGCATCTCTTCCATCTGGCTGTTCCTTACTAACATCCTTCTATAATAAACTGGTAAAGGTAAGTAAATGTTTCTGAGTTCTGTGAACAGCTCTAGCAAATTAATTGAACTGGAGAGGGTTGTGGGAACATCTGATCTTTAGCCAGCTGCTAGGATGACAACCTGGACTTGCTATTGGTGTCTGAAGGGCGGTCTTGGAGGACTGAGCGCTTTAACTGTGGGATCTGACACTATCTCTAGGAGTAGTGTCAGAATTGAATTAAATTGTAGGACATCTGGGGTGCCTGGATGGCTCAGTTGGTGGAACATGCAACTCTTGATCTCGGGGTCATAGGTTTGAGCCCTTCATTTGGTGTAGAGATTACTTAAAAATATAACCTTTAGGGGCGCCTGGGTGGCTCCGGTCACGATCCCTGGGTCTTGGGATCTAGCCCTGTGTCAAGCTGCCTGCTCAGTGGGGAGCCTACTTCTCCCTCACCCTCTGACCCCCTCACTTGTGCTCCCTCTAATAAATAGTCTTTAATAATATATATACATATATATATACATATATATACACATACACACACACACATATATATATAATCTTTAAAAAATAATTAATTGTAGGACATCTGGTCAGTGTCTGCTAAGAATTGGAGAACTGCTTAGTGTTGTTGAAAAAACCACATACTGGAAAAAGGTGATAATTTCTCTTTTACAGATGAAGAAACAGGGTGAGAGAACTTAAGTGACTTGTCCAAGTTTCCACAAGTAGAAAGTGTCAGAGCTGAGATTCAAACCTAATCTTTTCTCTCCATTACCATGTTCGACACTTAATAACAATGAAGTGTTCGGGATTATTCTAGGCCCTGAGAATACAGAGGCAGATAATAAAGTCAACACCTCTGCCCTCAAGGAGCTTATATTCCTTTTTATTCTATAAAATTGGAAATAATTTTTAATGAAATCTTTCCTGTTTATTCTGGATTCATTTTTAACATATTATGACTTAGAAATGCAATGTGTAGTTTACCATCAACTTTGTCCTAATCTGGGTAAATTTCACTAGCAGTAATGTAATACAAAGCAGAGCCATGGTTGTTTCAGTATTTGACTGGTTAAATATTAGGTAAGTGCTCCATGCATACATCAAACAATTCCTCAGTGATTTTTATAACAGGGTTTATGAAAAAAAGTTTGAACTTCAGGCCTTTCTTTCATAAGCTCTATTCATCTCTCGTTTTGGCACAGACTTTAGTTGATAAAAGTCTGCTTTTTTTCTTGAGTACAAAGTTAAGCAAAATAGGTACAATTTTGGTGTTGCACTATTTAAGGAGTGCTGGACTTACTAGATGCTTGCAGGAACACTGAGAACCTCCTAACTTGTAGTCAATTTATCATAAAATTAGTAAGACTCAGAACTTTAAGCTCACAACAGACTAGAGCTCTATGTATATTGTATCTGACTTGACATTGATGCCTTGAGAGTACCTTGTTTTCTAGAACAAGTACACAGTTTGTCAGAGAAAAATTTGTTTCCAAAGCCTTCCGGAAAAGGGATGTTGGTTTAGTTCCCGATAACAGCTGTCTGATCAATTTACGGTGCTTTGATAGACCATATTTATATTTAAAAGCTGGAATGGGTACTTGAAAAGCGAACTGCTGTTAAGATAGATGTGTTCTAGAGTGATCTTCACTGCTGCCTCCTTAAATAGGTGCTTGGTAAGGGGAAAAAGATGGTGAATGAATGTTGCTGAGTCAATCTGGGAGCTTCCAAAAGTATTTGAGACTTTGACAATATACCATGACTCCCTAATTTTATAAAAGATGAAGTCTAACCTCTTCATTTATACATATAGAACAATAAAAAGCATTTTGCATTTTAAAGGCCCTTCTCTAAACCCAAAGGACTTTGTGTTAGCAATTAATTCTTCCATAGTTGTATCATGGTTATATAACCCACCACAGAATTGCCTAACATCTATGAAGTGCTCTGGAAATTGACATGAGTGATTTTTTTATTTTTTAAAAGATTTTTATTTATTTACTTGACAGAGAGAGAGCGAGCGAGAGAGGGAACACAAGCGGGGGGAGTGGGAAAGGGAGAAGCAGGCTTCCCACTGAGCAGGGAGCCCAGTGTGGGGCTCAATCCTGGACCTGAGCTGAAGGCAGACTCTTAATATCTGAGCCACCCAGGCACCCCAAGAGAGATTTTTTATTTTTTTAAAAGATTTTATTTATTTGACAGAAAGAGACACAGTGAGAGAGGGAACTCAAGCAGGGGGAGTGGGAGAGGGAGAAGCAGGCTTCCCACGGAGCACGGAGCCCGATGGGGGGCTTGATCTCAGGACCCGAGGATCATGACCTGAGCCAAAGGCAGATGCTTAACGACTGAGCCACCCAGGCACCCCTCAAGAGTGATTTTTTAAAAAGTATTTTCTTTTTAAATATTCGAGTTCGAGTCCACAACTCAAACTCACAATCCCAAGATCAAGAGTTACATGTTCCATCACCGAGCCAGCCTGGTGCCCCAAGAGTGACTTTTTTTTTTTTTTTAAGAGAGGGAGGGAGAGCGAGCATGTATACACAAGAGTAGGGGGGGAGGAGAGCAGAGGGAGAGGGCAAGAGAGAATCTTAAGCAGGCTCCATACCCAGTGCAGAACCCAGTGTGGGGCTCCATCTCACCATCCTGAGATCATGAGCTGAGTCAAAATCAAGAGTCAGATGCTTAACTGACTGAGCCATGCAGGTGTCCCCCGAGAGTGATTTTTAAAATACTGTTTTTGGGGGTGCCTACCTGGCTCAGTCAGAAGAGCATGTGACTCTTGATCTTGGGGTTGTGAGCTCAAGCCCTGCATTGGGTGTAGGGATTATTTAAATAAAACTTAAAAAAATATATAGTTTTTGTAGCATGGTGGAAAGCCTTGGAACAAAATTTTATTCTGTCATCCCAAACCAATTCAGTTCTGTATCACTGAGACTAGAGTTTACCTTTCATATTTTGGGCAGGGAAGTAGGGGCTACTTCTTTATAAGAAATCTTGAAATCATCTGGTAAGGGAGTTCAAAACTAAGTTGAAAAATAATTCCAACAGTTAAATTCCTAAGGGTGAGTTCCTTTTGTTCCTCTACCAAAAATTCTGGAAGTCTCTTCCTTGAGGGACAGGGAAAGGTGACAGCAAAAAGGACATGGTGGTAGCATGAAGAGTTACTAGATGAGGCTTGGAAACCCAACATCATCTCTTCACTCAATATATACATATTTAAGGCCAAATCTGGGCATTTTTTTTTTAAAGTTTTTTTTATTTATTTGAGACAGAGAGAATGAGAGAGAGAGAGCACATGAGAGGGGGGAGGGTCAGAGGCAGAAGCAGGCTCCCTGCTGAGCAGGGAGCCCGATGGGGGACTCCATCCAGGGACTCCAGGATCATGACCTGAGCCGAAGGCAGTCGCTTAACCAACTGAGCCACCCAGGCGCCCAAATCTGGGCATTTTTATACATCATAGATTTTGTTTGATTAATGCACTACACTTACTTATGACAAAAATTAATCACCATTAAATCTTACAGGCTCCCAAATTTAGATAGTTGCCAAATTTGTGCCACAAAGCCTAGCATGGAGCTATATGGGATGAAAGGAAGTCCAACGTATGTTCCCTGGTCTTATGAATGAAAATGGAGAATCTTTCAACAAATATGTACATTTTCTAAAGGGGTCTCTAAAGTTCTAGGTCTCCTCAGAAGTGTATGAAGGGCCCAGTAGGACCTAACTTTGAGCTCTTAAAAAGTTAGGGTCCTATAGAGTGGATATTGTCTGTACTAAAGATTGTAATAGCTCTTCCCTCAGTGCCCTCTGACATATTTACAAATACCCCTTGGAGACGTTAACCTAACCCCCAACCTCTTCTATTTGAGAACCACAATGGCTTCCTATTGTACTTGAAATAAAATCCATACTCCCTCTAATACCCTAAGAAATCTGATTCATTCCTACATCTTTGACTTCTATCATGCTCATGGTGCCCTTTATTCCATACATTCTAATCTGTTCTTCAAAGATACCAAGCTCTTTCTGTATCAGGATGTTTGCATTTGCTTTCTCTCCATCTGGAATATTCTTTTCCCAATCCTTCATTTGAAAGTCTCCTTATCTCTCAGGCTTCAGCTCAAATGTCACTTTCTTGAAGACTTTCTCAGATTAACTCAGTTAACATGTGTCTTCTTTACTCTGACATTAACTTTTTATTTTCTTCACAGCACTTAAGTTTTTCCTGCTAGAGTGTAAATTCTTTGAGAGTAAATGACATCTTTACGCCCTTTTGTGTTACTATGGATCTAGTCCAAGTTTTGATATTTCTTTCGGCATGTCTATGGAGTTCTAGGAAGGTAGAGTCAAAGGTAGGCACTTAGGTCAGCACCTTAAACCTGAAATCTCAGCTTGTTTCGGGGAAAGGTTTGTTGTGCTCAAAGGGATTTGTCAAGAAAGCCATGCTAACTGCTATGTGACCAATTTTACCTGGTAAACAACTAATTCTTCCAAGAAGTTAAAACAATCCCTTAGGGAACTTTGTTTACAAACTTCGACAGAAAGTGACCTTTAAGAAGGACTACTCATACTATTTCTGCCTGATTATTGCCCCAATAAAGAATATGACTTATTAAACTTAAAAAAAAAAAATCACACTGTATTTACCAGGGACTCCAGCAAGTTAAAGAAAAAATAAGTTTGTTCTCAAGGTTAATTTTAATTTGAATCATATACCTGATTCACAACTAGCCGAACCTTAGCTAGTAAGCAAAATACATTTATCAGGTTGTCCCACTAAGAGAAATAAATGGCACTCGATGATACCTAATAACATCAATATATGCAACGATTTTGTTTCTGGTCTATAAAATATTACCTGTGGCAGAATTCTGAATGATAAAACTATAGTGGATGACTAAGTAACCAGAGATCAGGCTATCTGTTTGGGATGGCACTCATCTCATCATTGTGGTTAAGCTGACCAATAAATTCTAGTTTTATATTGCTTTCCCTTTAGGCTACTATGTTATGACGGTTTCGCCAATGGTAATAGAAAATCCAATGTAAACTATCTTAATAAAGGGCATTTACTGGCCTACGTAACAAAAAATTACAGGCAGGATAGTGATCAAGTATGGTTCAGTCAGCGCTCTGGTTTAATTTCTAAGTTTTTGGCTCTGCCCTCCTCTATGTGTTGGCTTTATCCTTAGGCTAGAGAGATGCAGCAATTCCAGGTCTCCCAAGTACACAGACCTTTAAGTGAGGAAACATCTTTTCTGAAAGCCCCTATAGTAAACAATCTGCCCTTGCTTTTCACTAGCCTATACTGGGTCACATAATACTCTGGACCAGTTCCTGTGGTCAGAGTAATACTATGCCTTAATACACTTAGATCCAGATTTCTGAACAATTTTTTCTTTTTTAATTTATTTGAGAGACAGAGGATGAGAGACAGAGAGCATGAGAGGGAGGAGGGTCAGAAGGAGAAGCAGACTCCCCGCTGAGCAGGGAGCCCGATGTGGGACTCGATCCCGGGACTCCAGGATCATGACCTGAGCCGAAGGCAGTCGCTTCACCAACTGAGCCACCCAGGCGCCCCTCTGAACAATTTTTATAAGTGCAATGGCATTTCACTCACCAGTGTGTTTTAAATGGTGGATCATGACCCAAGAATGCATCATGAAATTAATCTTTGGGTCCTAAACATCATTTAAAAAATTAAATAGATTTGAGAGTGCATTGCACATATGAGGGTATTATTTTATGAAACTTTGGTGCTCACATATACACATCTGGATTATAGTGTAAAATCTGCTTCTTATTGTGAATCAGGGTCAAAAAAATGTTTGAAAGCTTCCATCTTAGGCAAAGTAGGTTCACTCCCCTATTGGAGTGGAGTTGGCTGTTGCTTAAGTACATGGATTATATAAGGAAAAAAATGGATACCTGAAAGAAAATTGATAGTTTGGGAGAGGAAAACAGATGCTGGGGATAGAGTCAACAATTTCTACTGCAGCCTGCCTGACACTTTATTATTTACTCTATACTGGATTCCAATACAGTCATAACCAAGCATATTTTAATTCTTCCAATGTTTTCTCAATTTCAAAGTATACCTCCCTTCCAAAAAAAGCACTTCATTCCTTCCCCAGTTAAGTATCCATGGTGGGGCAATTTATAAATTTTGTCTTTTGGTTGGTAGAAAGTATTATGGTAAAATATTCATTGAAAAGCTTGGCTTCTAGGGGAAAAAAAAAAAATTCCAAATAACTGAGAAAATCTTTATCATCACCCTAATCTTTATTTAGGTTTAAATTTGGATCTTATGTGACAAGAACTTTAGAGCTCATTTTAGTTTAACTAAGTCAAGAAACTAAGGACTACAGAGGAGGATGAACTTATCTAAGCCAGTTAATTAGTTGCAGAACACAAGTCTCTCGACACCTGCTTCAGAATTCTTTCCATTGTACTAATTAACAGTGCAGTTATATCAACTTTAAAAAATGAAAGCAAGTACTGAACGTGAGTAAATTCCAGAGTACCTAGATTTACACTTCTGATTGATTCTTTAAAGAGTTGTAGGTAAATTATATTTTTGGGAGTAAAACTGCATTTTTAAGGAAACATGGGAGCTTATTTACAAAATGCCACTTCTGAAGTCTTTGAGAGGCAAAGAAAAGTTACTGCTTTATATGTTTAAGGCAGGCTAAGAACTTGAAAGCTAATTTTTATAATGTTACAGTATAAACTGTATTTCACCTTAATACTTCACCTTTTAAGGTACGGAATTCAATTCACTGAGTACTTTTTGTATGATTAGAAACTTACTAAGTTCTATGAATGATCCTAAAGAAGTCCTAGATACAAGAAATTACAATCAGTGTATTTATGTAAGTGTGGTACTAGGAAACAATCCTCATTAAGAAATCAAGGCAATTTCAATTACTTTAATTTTCATTTCTATTAATTTTTAAGTAAACTCTATGCCCCATGTGGAGCTCAAACTCATGACCCCAAGATCGAGAGTCACATGTTCTACCGACTGAGCCAGCTAGGCGCCCCACAATTTCAGTTACTTTAAATTCAAAGTGGAAAAGTCCTTTTGGGTTAGATACATTAGGTGAACTATGTTTCATGCACAGGCAGAAAGGGTAGCTGTCATTTGAGGATGCCGTAAGTTTTTTCAGTCCCCAAATCCCTGCCATTATGAAGAACGCCACCCATCTCTTCCTTTAAGAGTTGTTTACTCTTTTGGGTGAAAGGGTTTGTAAGAGGCTTCCCTCTAGCTCCAGAAAGAGCCTCAGTATGTGGAGTCTTGGAGAGTACTGACAGTGCTCAAGACTTTGCTTGGCTTTTATTTAAGAAAGGCAAAGTCTGAAGGGTAGGTAGGGTTTAAACATAAAAGAAAAGAATCTTCTGTTTTGGGATTCAGTCATGGTACCTACAGTAGGTTTGGGTAATATAGAAGTTGCTGTCTGGAACTAGATTTGCCTATCATCCAGCAGGTCCCAGGTCCACCTTCAGGTGCTAAAAAGTCCACTCTCACTAGCCATACATGGTATCCATAGCTTAGTCTGAGAGGTTACAGAACAGATGAGAAGCTGGCATCAAGAACCAAGTTGGGTAGTGTTGGCAATAAAGTGATATATTATCAGATTGCAGGGTCCCAGTCAACAGATTTGGGTTTAATCCAAGGATCTAGACTCTCAGAGGAGGAGGTTACAAGTAAAGAATTGGAAAAGAGAGGTCTTACATCTCAAGAGGGTGATACCCTGGACAAATAACTTAAGGGCTCAGGTTCAGTAATCACATGAGTCTCATTATCAGACTTGAGGTATCAGCCAGACATGGACATTATGGCATTGTACATGCCTCTCAAATTAGGGTAGATTTAATTCTAGGATTAGTTGACAAAAATCACTGCATGTATGAGCAATTATGATGAATCTTTTTTGAGAATTAATTTTCCTTGATGGCAATTTAACCCTATTTTTACATAGTTTTATATTAAAGCAAGCAGTCATATTTTGAAGTAGACAGCTTATTTTAGGTCACTCTAGAGAAGAAAATACAGGATTTTAAACAAATGTCCAGATTTTAGTAGGGAGTTTTATACTCCTAAGTCACTGTTTGATGCTCTTAATAAAGGTTTGAAAGGCAATGCCCACAAAAAGTACCATCTATGGGAAAGACCTGTTCTTTGTTTTGTTAAGTAAGCTCTGCACCCAGTGTGGGGCTTGAACTCATGGACCTTGAGATCAAGAGTTGCATGCTGTATTGACTGTACCAGTCAGGGACCCCACATTTTAAATTACATTCTGCTACTTAATGTGTGACCTTAGGCAAATTCAAAAATTACTTAATCCCATAGGATTGCTGTAAAAATGATTGGTAACATACAAGCATCTAGTAAGATAAAATAGGTGATTAATAATGTGACAAAACCTGGGCTAGAAATGCTTAATCTTGCTGCCTTAGATTAGGTCAGGCCCTATAGACTGGAGGGCTGTTAGTCTCCAGAGAACAAAAACCCAGACTAGAAGTTAATGTTGAAGTAAAGTTTAAATGGGACATGGCTGGATATGGAAGAGAACTAATATATGTTGTACATTTTTTCCTATCACCAACTGTTAGGAATTTTAGATAGGTACTCATTTAATCTTATTAATAACCCTCAAAGAAGGCATAATTTTACAGATGAGAAAACTGAGGTGCAGGAAGGCTCAAACTGCCCAACATTAAATAGCTAATTAAGCAGTGGAGCAAGTCCCCCAGTGTAGTCATGCTACCACATTCTGCCTTAGTGAGAATCCTTCTACTCCCCAAAATGGGAACTAGGTTTGAGTAAGTGAGATTTAATAAATAATGGCTACCTATATAGGAGTAACATAAAGTATGTGACATTGAGCTGGTGGCCTGTGATATGTGATGTGATGTGGGAAGAGATCCTAGGGACAGGAAAGTCAGACCTTCATAGAACTCTAAGGATAAACTGACAGGGGTTTCAAGTCTAATCATCTTCAAGTACAGTAAAACCTCATTAGTCTATAGTATGGAATTTATAATACTCTACATAGGAACTGAGAAACAATGAAAATACCTGATAACATTCTTCATACTTCCCTCTCCCCCAATAGTTCAGTTTGGATCAAAGCTGTGACATTATTTAGTGATTTCTGCCTAATCACCACACTGAATTCTAGGTAAAATAATTGAGCCAAAACCACAAAGGGTAACTAACATTCTCTACACATGCAGATATACAAATATAAACTACCATATCCTATTCCATTTTTTGTTGATTCACCAAAATTTTTTCCTTTACTGGGAATTTTACTTTAGTAAGGCCTTTTGCTAGGCAATGGAGACACAGCTGAATAAGACCTTGTAAGAGCTTAGTCCAATAACACTGGGAATCATGAGGCCACCAAGCAGATCATAGTTGAGACAAAATAGGGCCAAAACAGAAAGACATAGAGAATCAAAGTACCAAAGATAAATTAGGTCAAACTATTGAAAAGCAAATAGGAGTTTGTCAGGAAACAAGGGGAAGGAATATTTTTTGAAACCTGAAAGCATGAAACAGTGTAATGTATTTAGGGATTGGCAAGGCATTCCATGTGATTGGAGAGCTGCAGGGTAGGCAGGACTAGAAAAATTCATAGTGATTAGATCCTAAAGAGATACATTATGCTAAGGAACTGGGGTTTTATCTTGTGGATCAACATTTCCCACAGTTATGACCATGGAACTCTTTGAAATTACAATGTGAAGAAGAGATACTAATAATAAATGCTTAAAACTTCTGATTCTTTAGCTTTCTTAAAATCTAAGAAGTATAAAAAATATGAATCATTTTATTTAAAACCCCAAAATACCAGAGATGAAATCATCTTTTATTTTCATCTTATATTTGGTTATCAAGAGACATGCAAAAACCCTCTAATTTTAATGAGAACAGTGTTTTTGTGTCTTTTTATCACATATCCGCTTAATATTAGGTGTAATGTTGCTAAGTCGAATCCGCATATGAGGTGCAGCATCAAGTCTTTTCCTATATTTCGTTTTTGTTGCAGCATAATATGAAAATCCTGTTTCACACAGGTGCATTGTAGCAAAAGGAAGAAGTACACGAACCGCACGCCTTGCAATGCTTGGGTACTCTTGAATTAGGCTACTCCAAAAATCATTTAGTGAAAGTTCACTGAAATTTTGTTTGACTTGAGAATCAGATGTTAAATCAATCAGGCTCTCATAGTCCCGTGCTACTAATGAGGCCGGTTTAACAGTTACTGTAAATGGATTTCTAACCCAAGTGTTATTGTCATTTGTTACAGGAAAATATTTTAACAGAGTAGAGCGCAAACCCCTTAGATGCTGCACAATGGCACTACAAATATCTTTATCAACTGTAGAATTAATTTCAGTCAAAAAGTCACTGAGTGTAGGAAAACAATCAAAGTTTTCTTCCTCTACAGATGAAGCCCAAAATTCCAATTTTCTTAACAATGATGACATTTTATCAAATACTGTAAAAACTGTTACATTTTTCCCTTGCATTGATAGATTAACCTCATTTAATTTAGTAAAAATATCTGCAAGATACGCAAGTCTTAGCAGCCAAGATGAATTTGTTAAACAGTCAGACAGTCGAAAAGCAGAATCCATGAAAACCAATAGTTCACGACGAAGCTCAAAAAGTCTTACAAGAACTTTACCTCGGGAAAGCCACCTCACTTCTGTATTCAGAAGAAGTGCTGTGTGCTGAGCACCCATTTCCTCACATAAAATTTTTAGTAGCCTGGATTGATGTGGTCGAGCTTTAATGTAATTGATGATTTGTACTGCCTGATCTAGCACATTTTTCAGAGATGTAGGCATTATTTTAACTGCTAGTGCATGTCTATATAATAGGCAGTGACTACTGGTGCTTTCGGGAGCCACATATTTTATCAAGGTGACAGCCTCAGCAATTTTCCCGTCCATTGCCCTAGAAGCATCACTACAAACATCGACACATTTTTCCCATTCAATTTCATGTTTCTGCATAAAGCTGTTGATGCAGTTGAAAATTTCTTCACCAGTAGCATTACTTTGCAAAGATTCACATAAGAGTAGGTCTTCCTCAATAGATTTATTAAACCTATAACGAACAAACACAAGCAGCACAGCAAGTCCTGAAACATCAGCTGATTCATCTAGTTGCAGTGAAAACCCATCACAAATTTTCAGTCTACAAACAAGCTCTTCTTCAATGTCAGCAGCAAGATCCTTAATTCGACGTGCAACAGTACTATTTGATAGTTGTACTGCATCTATTTTTTTACTATATTGTTCGTCAAACATTCGCATCACAACATCTTTTGCACAAGGCTTGATAAGCAATTCTCCAATAGTATGAGCCTCTCCACTCAGGGCTATATGGTAACTTACATTGTATGATGCCTCTGTAGCACTTTCATTATCTGTATTGACAATTTTAGGTGTTGGAGGTTTGTTATTTTCAGGTGAATCAAGATGTTGCTTGAAAAAGCTTATGTCTTTGTCTTTATAGGCAGCATGTTTAGTTTCCAAATGTCTTCGAAGCTTACTAGGGGCCAAAGAACTATTTGATAAAATTTTTTTACATAACACACACTGAGCATGAGGTGCATCTCTATTTCCAAAGTAAGTAAATCCAAAAGACAAATAACTTTCATCATATTTTCTTCTTTTTGGTTTCTTACTAAATGTTGTTATTTTGTTGGAATTGGACATAAATTTGACCCTGGAAAGCTCACCTTCTGATCTTTTAGAAACTGAAGGCTGCAGCTGTTCATCCTCGCTTTGTAATATTCCAACCTTTTGATCATTTGATTCAGACACAATTTGATAACAAAAAGATTCTACTTCTTGTTTAAGACTTCCTTGTTTCAGCAACAGATCCATAGGCAATGTGTTTGTAGTACAAAACATGGTTAATTTAGAATAAACATTGAGTATCACAAATGTGTTGAAATTATACGACAGGATACACAGAAGATGAGCAATCATCAAAGAGATGATATAGAGCAACACATCAGTTAATTTGTAAATGCTGCCTATGCATCAATGCGCAGATGGAACATCACACGTTCGTGTATCAGGTGATTTCTCATTCGACTTCCTGGTGCTCTCAGGTATGGCACACCTTTTCTTAAACGTAGATTATCACATAAAAATAAAGCTATAGAAATGAGTTTAGTAGTCTTAAAACTTAATATTTTAAAATAAACTATAAAGAAAACTATTGTTAGCATTGATCTTTTCCTCAGAACACTTATTAACATAGAGAATATTAATGTTCTATAAAATACAATTTGGGAACCACTGGGCTAAGAAATAATGAAGAGTTGATAAGTATATTTTTAAGGAAGGGACCCTGAGGAATATGTTCCATGGCAGGGGTTGGCAAACTTTTTCTGTAAAGAGCAATATAGTAAATATTTCTGATTTTATGGGGCATATGGTCTCTGTTGCAACTATTCAACTCTATAGTCGCAGCATGGTAGCAGACACAGATAATGCAAAAAGAATGGACATAGCTGTGTTCCAGTAAATCTCTATTTACAAAAACAGACAGCATGGGCCACAATTTACCAACCCCTTCTCATGGTATATAGTATCTTGGAATCTCTTTTAGTTTTCTGATGCCTACTGCCATTAGATACATTCACTGTTGATGATAATATACATCTGAAGCCTCCTACCAGGACTAGTGACTATTTTGATAAGCTATATTAAAGACACACAAACACAGTTCAAAGTTCTGCAAGACACAGAATTCTGTATCCTAAATACTGTGCTAACACTGAAAAATAAAATGTAGACCACCAAAAGTTAGCTACTATTTCTCTGGAATTAAAATCACATAAATATTTATATCATCCAAATTAAGACCCACTGAAAGTAATGTATATTTTACTGATTATTCTGCATTCCATTATACTATAGGTGAAGACTTAACCAGGACCTAAAAAAACATAAACTCTCATTTTAATAGGTTTATTCCTCATATAGTTTTTAAAATCATAATTAAAAGGGTAATGCAAATTTTAAGACCTTTACAGACTACTACTAACTTTGCAAGTTAAGGCATACATATTTAGGTCTATCCAAATGTATCTGCTTTTGATTTAAACTTTATGATTTGGCTAGAGTAAGCTTTGGATTTTCATGTTACATCCTAAAGCAAAATGGTTTTCCTATTAATAGCTAGATGGTAAGATACCTGAAATGAGGAGTACTCCCTTCTGCAATCACACTCTCCACCTTGGCAGCTTGAAATGCAGATTCTTCAAAAGAATAAAATTAAGGGATGGGGTGGAAAGGGAGTAACCAAAAGCCTAGAATGAGAAAAATTAAAATTAGACACTGCAAAAGCAGAACTAACCATAAACCCCTAAGATGATCCTTCATTACAGTTTATTTTAGATCCAGGCAGTGCAAGTGATTCTTCACTGCAATGCAGTGAACTGAAATAGAAGATGCCTAGCATAGTAAAAATGCTAAATGTTTTCGTCTCACATAATACCCTTGTTATTCATTGTTTTGAAACACTTTCCCAACCACTGACTTCATAGAAACACACGTAAAAGTTTCAAAAACTAAACCTAACTTTTAAAAGTGGCCACATTTTAATGTCTCTAAAACGAAACATTAAAAGTAATCTAAAATAGAACTATACAGGGAAGTGTTATATGAAATATGCATTTTTGCTATAACCATTTTTGTCCCCTCAACCAATTTCCTAAGTTAGGTTACTAATGTTTATTGAATAATCATTGTTTACTATGCTTAACTGCTAGATCCCTCATACAGATTATCGCATTTAATCCTCAAAACAAACGTGAGAGTCAGGGACTGTTAATAACCGTAAGAGATGAACTAATAAACAGAGAAGTCATCTGCCAACTTAACACATCTTGTAAGTGAAGAACTAGAACAGAACCCAAAAAGTTGGGGCTGCAGAGCCCACGCACCTAGCCATTCCTTGTGTGTTCCTGAATACTCTAAATTTCTCAAGCACTAACGGGCGGCACAGAGAGAAAGGGATTACAACTGCCAATTAGTCGAGGGTCTCAAACCGGCAGCAGCAAAAAGCCCTACTCCATTATTGGGAGCAAAAGAGCCGTAGATTCTCGTTTCCACCATCCCGATTTTAATTTAGCAACAGAGAACTTCGTGGAGCTGCTGGTTAGGGTTAGGATCCCTCTCCCTGGCTACCCGAGCAGGACACAATGGAGTAGGAAGCTTTGTTTTCCCGAAGTAAGGCCTCATCCCCACCTCTTCTAGAGGTGCTTTCCCGAATCTCTCGAGGACAAAGAGTCTGGACTCCCTAGAGAGTCAAGTTTCTATTCCATTAATCCGAAAAGGCTGGCGGGGTGGGGGGGGGAGTAACCCTGTTCCTTTGTCTCTTCTCTGGGTTAAACTGACAGGTAACACCATCCCTTCACCCCCACCTTCGGGCCGTTCCAGCTGTGAATACACTCAGGGGCAGGAGGGCCGGGTTAGAGTGCAGTCCAGTCAGAAAGTCTAGGCAAAGATGGGTGCGGCTGCCCCTTCCAGCACCTACATGCTTCTTTAAACGGTCACTTCGATATGCTGCCTGGGCCAGCTATCCCTCCTTGTCACAGGTGCGCGCTGCCAGCAGACCGCCACATCTGGGGGCTCGCCCACCCTCGCCTCCAAAACTCTTCTCTCGCGTCCCCGGGCAGTCTCCTCAGCACCCAACACTATCTCTCTACGTCACCTCCATCAGTGATGGAGACCGGTCTTTGCTGCGGCTGGGCTGCAGGGCAGCGCCGCGGTCCCCAGCAGAGCCTGCGCCGCCATTTTAAACAGCTCAAGGCAGCGGCCATTTCAGAGCGCACCGCTCAGCCGCCGTGGCGGCTCTGGTCCTCACCTTCACCGCGGCCTGAACAGGGTCAAGAGCCAGTCGTCGCGGACTGGAAGAGGGGAAGGAGGGAAGGGGGGAATGAAAAACAAAACAGAGGGAAGAAGGATTCGGGGACAGGGTGATGCTCTCAGCTCAGGGATATCGCCTATGCCACCTCCAGAGAGATCCGGTTCGCGGCTGGCGCGGTCGCTCCTCTGAAGATAAATTTAGCACTCTGGAGCAGCCGAACTTACAGTCTCCACGAGCGGCTCCTCCGCCGCCCAATCAGCTCCAGAGTTGCTCTCCGCCACCAATCCACGCTGAGCAGCGGGGCGGGACCAAAGGAAAGGACCAAGCTCGGTTGCTGCGCGGCCCAGCGGCCGCCGAGGTGCCGGATTCCGGCGAGCGGGCTCTTTCAGCTGGTGCTAGACGTGAAGCGATTATTTTCAAACTTCCCTGGGTTCCTGTTAGCCCGGATGCTTGTTTAGAATGCAGGTTCCTGGGTACTGCCAGACAGAGTTTGTCGTCCCGTGGGGCTGGAGTGGACTCCAGGAATCTGCACGCTCATAGCACTGGCGTTCTGCCCAGGCGGCGGTGATTTGTGTGGATTCGCAGTTACCTCAAGGAGCGCGCAGAGCCTCGGCTGCGGCTGCTTTCACGACCTCTTTGTTTCCCGAGCCGCACCCCAGGCTCAGGTTACGCAACCGCCTCCTCTTTCCCTTGTTTTCCCTCCGGAGTGGGGCAGGAGACGCCCTCTCCTTTCCTCGCCCCTCCCGACGATGCTGTGTCAGGGGCCCGGCCGAGAGCTGAGCATCCTGCCAGAGCTCTCGGGTCAACCCAGATGCGGTCGGGGCCGCGGTGTAGGCGTGTGTAGGGATAGCGGCGTCTCCGCTGTGTCACAGGGAGAGTCCGCTTGCTGTCTTGACACCTCTCACAAGAGGCACCCTCCGCCTTCACCCGCAGGCCAGCCCGCTGGGCTACACCGTCTGCTAGCTGCGGCCTTCGGGTGCTTTAAGCCTGGTGCTCTCCCACGCCCCTCCCCTCTTAGGGAAAAGCACAGCAGAGGTTGCGGGCCTGTGTGTTTCCCTCTTGGCGATCCGTCGTGGAGACCAGGAGCCGGGTTCTCCAAACTGGCCCCTTAAAATAGATACACGTCTAGGAGTAATTTGTTAAAGTACGAGTAGCATTAAACAGTAGGTCCCATTGTTTGTAATATTTTAGCCTTTCCAGGCCCCGTGAAAATAGCTACATGAACACTGGATCATGTTTTCAGGCACTGCATCCAATGACAAAATCCTCAGCTTGTGGTCAAAAGCAAGGGCAGCTTCTGTTTTTCTTAAACACGTTTCTTGCATATGTGAATAAATCTCTTAGGCGTAAAAAGAAGCCTACACCTTAACACAATTTTCAGGAGGACGGTATAGATGATTTCCTTGGACTGATAATAGAAGACACCATTTGGTCCTAAATATTTTTAAGCCAATTCAACTTATCTTCAGATTTTTGCCCTATAGTAGGCTATCCATATGTCTTCATTATTTTTAAAAAATTATTCCTGTGAAATCAAATAATCAAAATTGCAAGTTTCATTTGAACTTTAACCACAAAGGTGGGAATAATTTTTGGGAAGGGGGCTGCAGGTCTACTTGAAGAGCAAAGAATTTCCTTTTGTCATTGCAGGAGCTGTCTAGCTTGATAATGACATTGGAATAATATCCCATATTTTCATATGTTTTATATTTCGGAATAAACTTTTACATATAGTTCTCAATTTAATCTTCACACATCTGGTTTGCATCTTCACAAACTGAGAAAATCTGAAACATTCAGATGATGGGAAAAACAGCGTTTAAACAAGTTCAAGTAAACTCTAGGACTTAACCTAGGTCTTAAACAACTGAAGAGTCTGATAATTAAGGACTTGAAACATAAGAATTTTTTCTGTAATTGCTTAATCAATAAATTATCATGTAATGTTGTTGATGAGACAGATTAGAATATATATAGACAATGTAGAACTCAGACCAATAATGGTAACAGGTAACATTTACTGAGTACATAGTACAAGCCAGGGGCTGTTCTACACAATTTTTAAGGTGTTAACTCATTTAATCTTCACACACAACAATCCTACCAGATGATTGTTCCTATTTTACAGACAGGGAAATTGAGCAGATTGATGATAACTTGCTCAAGTTCCCAAATTTAATTGGTAGCAGAGCTTAGGTTAAGTGCAATGCTGGTTGTGGGAACTACAGCCCTGTGGGTCTAGATGGTGTGTGTGTATGTGTGTGTGCACATGCACTTGCAAACTCATATTAGAAAACTATTGTGAATAAGACTATAAAAAATTATTGGGTAAGTAAGTAGAGCCTTATTGTTAAAAAGGAACTCTGTTTGTTACATGGGGCTCAAGTAAAATCATCACTAGAAGCAGTGACAAGAATTTCAACTGATATCCCAAATTTGCAGCCCCAGTTGCTGTTAAGAAGTCTGAGATAGCAATTCTGTTCTCTTTGGTTGCATGAGTTAATTTGCTTTGCAGTTAGGTTTACCAGAAGCATGTGATGAGACAGGAAGCCCTAGAGCCAGTATTGTAGGTCAGAGTGTCCCACTCCCTGCCCATTATACTCCTCCATCCTTCAGTATATGTGGGCTGTCCTGGGCAGGGAAGACGGCAGCCGAGGCAAGCCCTGAGTGAGCTGACAGCTAGGGGGCCATCTGCTGATCTTGCACCTGCCCCTGAGCAGGGCAGCAAGTCCTTCTTGAAAAAGGATCTGAGTGGCACATCTTCATGTCTGGCACTGTGTGTAACCTTTAATATAAAGGTAAATTAGTACAGTTTTCATTATTTTTGTGAAAGTTATCATTATTGTGGTGGTGTGTATTTTGTCAACTTTTAAGATTTATAAAATACTTAAGAGTATGTTGTCACCACGTGTAGGAGATTGATTTATTGGTATTAGATTTACAAGAGTTACATAGGTGCTTATAAAGATTTCACTGGCTAACTATTAGATATATTTCTATTTATAGTTTAAAATAGCTAAGAAGGAAACCCTTGCTGGGACAGTGTGGTCTCAGGACCCTCGGGGTCAAAGAAAGACCGGGGGTGCCTGACTATGGCAGAGCTCCCAGGTATCGGAGTGGGGAAGCCGGCTGCAGAGACGGAGCTGAGGCGCAGGCTCTCAGCTCAGGGTTGCCATAAACCATGATCCATGACATGGTGGGGCCACTGCTCTTCAAGCAGGGACCCAAAGAGCGGCAGATCTGGGGAGACTCCCCTTCCTCCGCTGGGAGGAGTGGCGCGGGAGTGCACAACAGGGATCTGCTGGGTTTTGAGACTCCACACAGGGTCGTGTGCCAGAGATAGAAACGCTCCGTCATAGGCCGGGTGAGCACGGAGTGCGGCCGGAGACCGGGGAGATGGGAGTGACTGACTGCTTTTCTCCGGGGGCACACTGAGGAGCGGGGCCCCGAGTTCTCGGCTCCTCTGGGGCGGAGATTGGGAGGCCGCCATTTTCACTCTCGTTCTCCAAAGCTGTATGGAAAGCTTGCAGGGAACAAAAGCTCCCGAGAGCAAACCCGAGCAGATTACTTAGCCCGACCCTGGCAAGGGCGGGGCAATTCTGCATCCGGCAAAGACATTTGGGAACCACAGCAACAGGCCCCTCCCCCAGAAGATCAGCAAGAACAGCCAGCCAAGACCAAGTTTACCGATCAATGAGAACGGCAGAACTCCAGCGCTAGGGGAATACAGCACATAGAATTCATGGCTTTCCCCCCCATTATTCTTTAGTCTTTCAAAGCTAATTTTTATAGTTTTCTTTTTTTTTCTTTTTTTTTGGATTTTTCTTCTTTTTTTCAACCAACATCTTATCAATTCCTTTTTTAATTTTCATTTTTAGTCATATCTTCACTGTATTAACCTTATTTTTTGTATATATATAAGTTTTCTTTCTTTAAAATTTTGGGATACAGTTTCTTCTAACAGACCAAAATATACCCTAAATCTAGTGTATGATGTTGTCCTAGTCTCTCACCTGATCACATTCTTTTTTTTCCTTTTTTCAACCAACTTCTTATCAATTCCTTTTTAAAAATCTTTTTTAATTTTCATCTTTACCATTATATTCCATCCCTTCATTATATTTACCCTTATTTTTGTATATATATAAGTTTTTCTTTCTTTAAAATTTTGGGAGGCAGTTTCTTCTAAAAAACCAAAATACACCCAAAATCTAGTATGTGGCTCTGTTCTATTCACCAGCCTGATCATATTCTTTTTATTTTTTCCCCCTTCTCCCCCCCCCCAGTTTCGGGTCTCTTCTGATTTGTTTAGTGTATATTTTTCTGGGGTCGTTGTTACCCTTTTAGCATTTTGTTCTTTCATTCATCTCTTCTCCTCTGGACAAAATGACAAAATGGAAACACTCACCTCGAAAAAAAGAACAAGAGGCAATACCGACTTCCAGGGACCTAATCGATACAAACATTAGTAAGATGTTGGAACCAGAGTTCAGAATGACGATTATAAAGATACTAGCTGGGCTTGAAAAAAGCATAGAAGATACTAGAGAATCCCTTTCTGGAGAAATAAAAGAACTAAAATCTAACCAAGTTGAAATCAAAAAGGCTATTAATGAGGTGCGATTAAAAATGGAGGCTCTAACTGCTAGGATAAATGAGGCAGAAGAGAGAATTAGTGATATGGAAGACCAATGATGGAGAATAAAGAAGCTGAGAAAAAGAGAGATAAACAACTACTGGATCACCAGGGGAGAATTCTAGAGATAAGTGATACCATAAGACCAAACAATATTAGAATAATTGGGATCCCAGAAGAAGAAGCTAGAGAGAGAGGGGCAGAAGGTATATTGGAGCAAATTATAGCGGAGAACTTCCTAATCCGAGGAAGGAAACAGGCATCAAAATCCAGGAGGCACAGAGAACCTGCCTCAAAATCAATAAAAATAGGTCAACACCGCAACATCTAATAGGAAAAATCAAAGTCTCAGAGACAAAGAGAAAATCCTGAAAGCAGCGCAGGACAAGAGGTCTGTAACATACAATGGTAGAAACATTAGATTGGCAGCAGGCCTATCCACAGAGACCTGGCAGGCCAGAAAGGACTGGCAGGATAGATTCAGGGCACTAGATGAGAAAAATATGCAGCCAAGAATACTATATCCAGCTAGGCTGTCATTGAAAATAGAGGAGAGACAAAAAGCTTCCAGGTCAAACAAAAACTAAAAGAATTTCTGAACACCAAACCAGCCCTACAAGAAATCTTGAAAGGGGTCCTCTAAGTAAAGAGAGAGCCTAAAAGTAACATTGACCAGAAAGGAACAGAGACAATACACAATAAAAGTCACCTACAGGCAATACAATGGCACTGAATTCATCTTTCAATAGTTACCCTAATGTAAATGGGCTAAATGCCCCAATCAAAAGACACATGGTATTAGATTAGATTAAAAAAACAAAACAAAACAAGACCCATTGATATGCTGTCTGCAAGAGACTCATTTTAGACCCAAAGACATCTCCAGATTTAAAGTGAGGGGGTGGAAAACCATTTACCATGCTAATGGACATCAAAAGAAAGCTGGGGTGGCAATTCTTATATCAGGCAAATTAGATTTCAAATGAAAGACTATAATAAGAGATGAGGAAGGACACTATGTCATACTTAAAGGGTCTATCCAATAAGAAGATCTAACAATTTTAAATATCTATGCCCCTAACATGGGAGCAGCCAATTATATAAGCCAATTAATAACAAAATCAAAGAAACACATTGACAACAATACAATAATAGTAGGGGACTTTAACAACCCCCTCACTGAAATGGACAGATCATCTAAGCAAAACATCAACAAGAAAATAAAGGCTTTAAATGACA